TCCCAGATGTCACACCCAGTGACAAGTGTCTTATGAGTAGCTTACAGAAAAGATGAGATCATGGGAAGACAAAGCCAGAGGCTGGAGTGACGCTGCCACAAGCCAAGGGACACCGGAGCCGTTAGAAACCAGAAGGGGCAAAGAAGGACTCTTTGATTTTAGGCCTCTGTTCAATTGTTTTCGGCCCCCAGTGTGTGCTAGCCTGCTCTACGGCTAGCACACTTGGTCAATACCCGTCCTCCAGCAGGCCCGCTGTTCCTGATGGCAGAGACCCTCTGGCTCAGCTTTTCCTGACGAGAGGAAACCTCCTTTGGTTGGGGTAGGATGTTGGCTGCCTGGGGTGTGAGGGATGTGAGGGGCTGTCTGCTACTAGTAAAGAGTCTTCAATTTTTAAAAGTTACACTTATTTATTTATGGAGAGACGGAGAGAGAGAGAATCTCAGAACCCGGGATGGAAAAGGCGGAGCCAAATGGATCCTTCGGGCTTGCTTGCCAGTCAGCCCAGCCCAGGCTATGAACCCCCAGTTCCAGTGAAGGGTCCTGTCTCCAAAACTACAGGGATAGCTCCGAGGAGCAACACCTGAGGTTGACCTCTGGTCTCCTTCATATAAACGCGCGCGCGCGCGCACACACACACACACACACACACTTCAAGAGAAGTAAATGATTCTCAGAGTTTGGAGAATTAGGACAGCAAAGGTAAATAGTACTAAAGAAAGTTCATCCAACTCAGTTGATATTCCTATTTCTTTGTTAAAAAATAAAATGAGTTATTCGCCTGGTAGTGGTGACTTCATACCTTTAATCCCAGCACTCAGGTATCAGAGACAGGCAGATCTGAGTTTGAGGCCAGCCTGGTCTACAGAACGAGTTCCAGGGCAGCAAGATTTGTGTATTTGATATGTATGAGCGTTTGCCTGCATGTCTGTGCACAACCATATCTGTGTCTGGAGCTTGTGGAGACCAGAAGATGACACTGGGTAACCTGGAACTGGAGTTACAGACTGCTGTGAGCTGCCATGTGGGTGCTGGAAACTGAACCCTCTCTTCTGTGAGAGCAACAAGAGCTCTTAACACCTGAGCCATCTTCCCCATTCCCTGTTCTGATTTCTTGGTTGTGTAACCAACAGGCTCATGGTCCCCTTCCCCCACCCCAGCCAGTAGCTCAATCATCTACACTCAGCGGAGTGAGGTTGTCGTGGTGAGACAAGAAAAGCCTCACTGAAGGAGACCCAGGCAGTATTTTCACTTTAGTCTGGTTGTATTGCTAAAAAGCCCTTCCTTGGAAACGTGAACAACATCCACCCCTTCTTCTAAAGTCTCGATGACAAACTGAGGTATGATTCCACCAAAGTTCACCCAGGAGGAATTAATGAGTTTATTAGACTTACAGGGCAATGGGTAAGGGGTTATGGGAAGGGGAATAGATGACCTTAAAACAGCCACACTGGAGGGTCTGCACTCAGCAGGGATGACAGCTTACCCACGGCTATGTTATAGGAAGCCCCTTCCCTCGCCCTTTCCATCCATATACTCCATCCCTTCCCAGAGATCCTGAGACCACGAGAACAGCCGACCGTCAAAGACCCCAGCTGTGATCATCTTTGATGGGCTGAAGATGGTGGCGGTTTGTCTTGGAGGCTTGCCCCATGCAGCAGGTGGTTTGCATTATTTTGATTGACATGGAATTCACCTGTTCCTCCCTGGTGGTTGGGCCTGCCAGCGTGGCCTCATGGGTTTAGAACATTGTGAAAGGTTAGATCTTGATTATCAAGCCATAGTTCTGTGGTGGTTTGCAAGAAAATGGCCATGTTGGAGTAGGTGTGGTCTTGGAGGAAGTGTGTCACTGTGGAAGCAGGCGTTGAGGTCTCATATGTGCACAAGCCACGCACAGTGAGTCAGCCCACTTCCCGTTGCCTGGGCAAGATGTGGAACTCTCAGCTAGCTCTCCAACACCATGTCTGCCTGCATACGGCCATGTCCCACCATGATGATACTGGACTAGACCTCTGAAAATGTAAGCCACCCCAGTGAAATGTTTTTGTTTTCCCTGTAAGAACTGCCGTGGTCATGGCGGCTCTTCACAGCCACAGAAAACCTAGCTAAGACAAGACTTTAGGACTCCTGTTGTTGGGATTGGTCCTCCCCAGCTGGGAGACCTGACTACCTCACTCTGAGCCCAGTGGTCTGACCCTCTAGCATCAAGGGCTGCAGGGGCTTTTCAACTATGGAAGAGACGGGGATTCTGGAAGGAGTTAAAGATACAGAAGTGGTTGAGGTTACTAAACAAGATGATGAGAGACTATACTGAGCACTTACAGCAGGCCACCATGAACTTGGCCAAACCAAAATGGAGTCACCCATGCTCGACACCATAAAACCAAGCAGAGACTTTAACAGACAAATCCAAAGCAGAGGGTGGGGGGGCGATGTTTCTCCTAAAAAACAGGAGGTTCTTAGTCTACCTGAGTTGGTGAGATAACAAAGGACCCTCTGATTTTTGAAAATTACATTTATTCATTTTATGGGAGGGGCACATGCATGTCACAGCCTGTATCTGGAGGTCAGAGGACAACTTGTGAAAGTTGGTTCTCTTATTCCACAATGTGGTGAAATATGTATTCTTTCCCACCAGCTGCCTGGGGGTCGCCACTGTCTCTGCCCCCAAATAACATATGAGACACTATATTAATTATGAAGCTGTGGTTTGCTATGGTTTTTTAATGGCTAGCTCTGACTTAATTATTAACCCATCATTCCTAATATATATTTTTATAAGGACTTACCTTACCAGGGATACAGCCTCGTGTGTCCTCTCTTCCCCAGGATCACATGGCGACTCCTACTCTTTACTACATTTCCCAGAATCCTCCTTGACTCCTAGTACTACCTATCTTGCTTCTCTATTGGCCAACAGTGCTTTATTTAGCAACTAATAGGACAAACATATAGACAGAAGGACGTCCCCCATCAATGTGGGTCCTGAGGATAGAATGTTCTAGCCTCAAGTGGCAAGCACCCTTATCTGCTAAGCCATCTGGCCAGCCCAAGACCCTCTGCTTTTTTGTTTGATTTTATTATTTTGATGTGTGTGTACATGGGTCTGTGTGGGTCAGGCTCCCCCCACACCTCCGGAGCTGGAGTTAGAGACAGTGTGAGCCACCCACAGGGATGGGTGCTGGGAATTCCCCAGTGGAAGCTCCAATGGAAGAACAATACATATAGGCTTAGCAGCTGAGCCACCGCTTTAGCCCCAAGATCCTGTGCTTCAGCCCTTACAAAAGACTGCCTTCAAGTTATTTGATGTCAATCACTCAGCGTCTTTTCCTACTGCTCTCTCTCCTTGATCCCATCTCACATAAACCACTGTGCCGGCGTTGCGTGTGGGAGCTCACTCATTCTACAGAATGGGGGCTGCCCTGGTTCACCAATCACAAATCAAAGCTGAGCAGATCCAGAACTAAACCGCTGTAATGCTATGTCTCAATGAACCTAAGGTCTTGGCTCGTTGCTCTTTGGCAGAGAACTTCAAGGGGGCTTTCCGGGGGGCTGAACTTGGTGGTTATGTGTGAGAGGGAGAAGTGTGGGGGGGTGGCAGTGGCTACGGTTCCTCTGAGAGGACAAACTATGAACTGGGCAAATTGTGGCACCTCTCCTTCCGATGGAGGAAGAGAGCTGGTCTGCTGGGGCTGGTGGTTGGATTGGGTTGAGTGTTGGCATCTGATGCTCTTCCCAGGAAACAGTTTCTGCTTGAGGCCTCCCTGTTCTCTTCGAGACCGATAAGGAGTACCCCAAATCCTCACTACCTACTAGGCCCAGTACCTGAGAAAGGGGTGGCCCTAAGGTTAGCCACCTCTTCTTTTCATCCCCCCACCCCGCCCTTCCCTCTGCCTTCCCCTAGGAAGCAGCAGATACAATCAGCAACTTGGTTTTCTTTTTCTTTCTTTCTTTTTTTTTTTTAATAAAAAGGCACTTTAGGGCTTTTATGCAGGAGGCTGAGGCCCATTAAGACATAAATTAAATCTTTGTGGGAACAGCCGGAGTGTGGAGGCTCTGTGTGAGGAGGGCCCCTCACTGGTGTGGCAACCCCCAGCTCCCGCTTCCTTCCACTGGCCTTGAGCTCCCCCCTCACCCCCCCTCCCGCTCTCCCTCCAGGATTAAAGTGCATCTTAGCGACTGGGAGGAAATTAATCAGGGTTTGCATGAGGAGGTTATGGAGCAGGGCTGGAGTGAGGCGGAAGAGGAGGAAGCAGGTGAGGGAGTGGGGGGTGGGGGCGCTAAGGGAGGGAGTCGGGGCGGCTCAGTGGCTCCAGCCTGTACTCCACCGTGGGACCCACCCCGCCCACCGCGCATCGGAGGGAAGGACTGTGCTATCAGCCCTCGCACAGACAGGGAAGCAGAGGGGTTTCCAACGCAGAAGTTCTACGACCACCCATAACATTTCTCTTCTCTCCAGTGTGTTCCCCTCGCCCCCAGGCATTTCTCTGCAACTCCTTTAGGAGCTTGAAAATCCTGATCTCTCTCTCTCTTTCCTGGGATCACTTGTTCTTTTTTTGTTTTTGTTTTTGTTTTCCAAGACAGGGTTTCTCTGTATAGCCCTGGCTGTCCTGGAACTCACTCTGTAGACCAGGCTGGCCTCGAACTCACAGAGATCCGCCTGCCTCTGCTGGGATTAAAGGTGTCACTTTTAAAGGTCCCAAAGAAGTGTTTTACTGAGGCTAGGGGACTCCAGAATTTGTTTGTGCAGGAGAAGGGACCATTGGCTCATACCCAAGAAACCTGTGGCAGCTCTAACAGGATGCGGGGTTTGGACAATGGGGTGGGGACTGAAAAGTTGGAGCTGGGTCCACAGTGCAGGGGGCGGGGCTGTTGCCAGGGTGGGGGCTCCCTGTGTCTCCACACTTGTGCAGTGGCCACCTGTCACTCATTCATTTCTTCAGCAAATGTTTATTCTGCACCTGCCGCGCAGCTGGCAGGGGGCTAAGTACTTCAGTTAGGGAAGCAGTGAGAATAGAGACTAATGCTGGGTTTCTTCTTTCTAAGAAGCGCCCCACCCCCAGGGCAATTTGAATAGTTTTGAAATCAGGGTGTGTATGTGTGTGTTTTTTTTCAAGCCCGGAGTGTTAGAGTGATTTTCTGAGGTGCCTTTTTGGCTTTTTGGGCATACTGCATGGGCTGTTCACGCCTTGGCAGCTTAGAGCTATGAGACCTAGCCACAGTCACATGTACCTTTTGGGCACCTAGCAAGGTGCCAGGCCCCCTTCTAAGTAATTAGTTAGTTAGTTAACTCGTGTCCACACCGCCGTGGGAATGTGGAGGTCCAGCTCAGCTTTCCGGACTTGGTTCTCTCCTTTCACCGTGTGGAACCCAGAGATCCAACTCAGGTAATCGGCCTTGGTGGCATGTGACTTGGCCTGCTGAGTCGTCTCTCTGACTCTATAGGCCCTGTTCTAAGTGCTTGTGGTGTGGCTTTTCCTAGGGAGATGTAAAGAAACGTGAGCCTCTACCTTCTTCCACGAAGGATCTTGTCAGGGTCTCCTGCCATGTGGTCACATTTGCTCTGATTCAAGACAGCAGCAACCATGTCTAAACCAGAGGAAACAGCCACGTGACCATGTTCTACATGCATGAGACATGGTGTCTTGGAGCCCGGGCTGCATGAGCTTAGGGGGTGAAGGTCAGGTCCTTTAACTGGGCAGGAGCAATTCCAAAATGAGGAATTCAAGCCACCACTGTGTCTTGGGCTACATGAGGAACAGGTCTTCCGTAGCCCAGGGTGGCACTGAACTTACTATGTTGCCAAGGGTGGCGTTTAGCCTTTTGTTTCTTTTGTCTCTGGTCCTAAGTGCTGGGATTACACTGCCTGTCCGCCATTCCTGGTTTTAAGAGGTTTTTGCTGTTGCTGTTTGTTTTTGGAGACAATGTGTCATGTAACTCAGGCTAGCCTCAAGCTTACTGCCCTGCCTCTACTTCTAAGTACTGGGATTGCAAACTGGAGATCTCGCCATGAGCTTCCTGCATGGGAGACAAGCTCCCTACCGACTGAGCCACATTCCCCAGCCCCTTCTGTATCCAAATTAGTGCTGTCCTCACTTAAAAGATGAGGAAACTGGAGCCCTGGGAGATGAATTTTCGCCTGGCCCTCAAAGAACAGGGATCTCGCAAACTACCTTGCAAACATCCGTGGTAGCCTAGTAACCACGGTTGAGCTGTGGGGGTGCAGGGCAACAAAGGAGGGTGGAGGACGGAACCTGCTTGGATGTGGCCACGCAGAGTGGCTTTGGGGCCTGGGGACTTTCCCCTCTCTCAGAAGAGCCCCCTTTTTCTTGGTGTGCCTGGGGTGATGAATCATAGAAAGACACATCATTCACTCCTATCAGCCTGGCAGCCCGCTGTTCTTCCTGGCCAGGGGAGAGGTGGAGAACAGAGGGAAACCCAGGGAAGGGCCTGTGAAGCAGCCTCTTGCTCCCCAGCCCCGCCCACAGCAGTCACGTGGACCGTTCTCGGTCTGGTTTGTTTCAGGCTGGGATGCATGGGCTAGTGAGGAAGGCTTACAATAGGAAGGGGGAAAAAACAAGCAAAGAAGTTACTAGAAGCCTCCTTTCCTCCTTCCTAATTACCATCTAAGGCAGGCTTGAAAGCCAATTGGGATGCAAGGAGCCTGGGGCATCACCCTTCCGTTCTCCAAACCTGTGACGCTGAAGGCAAATCTCAGCCAGTGTTTTAGGCAGGATGGTGGAATGGTTTCTCCATAGGGAGGCGCTGGGCAGGAGCCCTCTGTTCTTCCCGTGTCCTCTCTCCCTAACTCCCTTCCCTCCCCATTATTCTCCACCTTTCCCAGGCTCAGCTCTGCCAAGTGCCAGGAAATAAAGACCTCACCTGCCAAGAGGAGCCGGGAGGGGCGCCGAGGGCTCTGCCAGCAGCCTGGAGCTGTCAGGCTGGCGGTAATTAATTAATCAATCCATCGAGGAGGCTCTCAGAGCCACAACAGCGTCTCCTGAACGTGGCACAGTGGGCAGGGACGGCAGCTGCTCCAAGGAGGTTGAGGTAACAGAGGCCCTGCCAACCTTGGCCCCGTGGCCATTGCTCCTGTGTCCTGAGAGGGGGCTGGGGGGACAGAGAGGAGGGGCCAACTCACCCAAGCCTGGTGTGTCTAGTTCACAAGCGCTGTGTACCACCTACTGTGTGTCAGACTTGTTGGAGACAGCTTGAGACAGGGTTCAGGGCACACACACACACACACACACACACACAAGTGCGCACCCTTCTAATGAATTCCTGGGGACGTGGCAAGGATGTGGTCTCAGCGAAACCCTAGTCCTGGCTCTATCCACAGGGCTTGGAGCATACACAGAGTGCAAAATTGTCTTGCCCTTCGGGAGGACAGTCCTGTCTGCCTCCTCAATGGCTACGAGCTTGTGTGTGTGTGTGTGTGTGTGTGTGTGTGTGTGTTTCTAGGCACTTTCCATCAACAGAAAGTGAAACTTCAGCAAAGGGGCAGCTGGGAGCCCCGAGCAGCAGATCCCACAGCAGCTGAGGGCTGGCTGTGCCTGTGTGGGTACCTGGGCCTTAGGCAGGTATCTGTCAGTTTTAGTCACTAGTTCTGCAAGCATCATGAACCCTGGACCAGCAACCATTACCACAGCATCGTTGGAGAAATAGCCTGTCACCAGCCTTATCCCACGCATCTAGAATCTCATCCACACCACAGGTTTTGCCTGCTCCTCTAGGACACTGCACTCCTCGGAACGAGGGGCACAAAGAAGTCCTGGCCCCCGTGTTTGTGGGACTTGGGCTCTAGCGCACTGGCTGGTAGTATGCATGGGGTCTTTACTCTTCCCACCCATGCTTAACGGGACGGCAGATAGTACGGGTGCTCAGAAGATGCCGAGGGACGGGAGGGACACCGGGCCCTTTTATAGATCTCCTTGAATGTCTGTACTTGCAGAAGACTCATGTGCTGCCCTTTGGTCCATGCCTCAGGCTTTAGAACCATGGGAGCATGAGTACTAACTTTCTTGGGACCAATTTATTGAGTTTTGTTTGTTCGTTTGTGTGTGTGTGGTGTATGTATATGTGTGTCTATGTGTGGTGTGTGCGTATATGTGTTGGCTTTCACGTTATTTGAGATATTATTTCAAAGTTCGAGGCCAGCCTGGTCTACAGAGTGAGTTTCAGGACAGCTAGAGCTAAACACAGAGAAACCCTGTCTTGAAACAAACAAACAACCAAAAAAAACCTCTCAAAAAGAGGTATTATTTCTTTTCCACTGACTACATACCTCTAGTCCCAGGCCATATAGGCCACAATCATATAGAAACCAGATCTCTAGCCTTCACCTCTGTGTCCTGTTTCTGAAGAAGTTAGCCTCGTGGGAAATACAAATATTATTTTTTAAGACTTTTTTTTATACAGGGTCGTACTGGGTAGCTTGTGGATCTTACTATGTGGACCAGGCTGTCTTTGGACTTCCAGAGATCCACCCGCTTCTGCCTCCTGAGTGATGGAGTCAAAGGTGTGAGTCACCACATCTGGCCTAGAAGATTTATTTATGTTACTTTTAATTAAGTGTATATGTTTGTGTTGGAGGGTGCACATAAGTTCAGGCACCCTCAGAGTCCAGAGAGGGCATTGGCTACTGTGGAGCTGCAGTTACAGGGGTTATGAGCTTCCAGACATGGGTGCTAGGAACCAAACTCAGGTTCTCTGAGAGAGCAGTAAGTGCTGCCAATCACTGATCCATGTCTCTAGTCCCTAAATAGCTATTTTTATTATGCTTCTATTTATTTATTTTGTGTGCAGGTGTGTGTGGCGGGTCACACATAAGTCATAGTGTGCACCTGAAGATCAGAGGACCATCCGTAGGCGTTAGACCCCATCCAAGCCCTCAGGGCCCTAGCCAGATAAGTCATCTCTGCAATCTAGGAGTATTCTTGAAGGCCATTCTCACCCTAGGAGGGCTGGTGACAACTGGTGTGGAAGGGACTGAGAATCAAATACATACACCCACTAGACTCAGCCAGCAAGGATCTCTAATTTTCCCTCAGCTGGGTCTCCTCAATGCCCGTGATCACTCTAGCTCCTCCAGGTGAGGGTAAGTGTGACAAAGGGGACAGCAAGGAAGAAGGAGAAATCTAACCGGTCATGGTTAGGGTAGCTGTGTGTGCAGACTGTGAAGGTCCCCAAATGTGAAGCTGTTTGTCAAAGGCCCTCTGAGGGCTCAGAAAGGAGCTGCACGAGTGAGTGGCTCTGAAACAGAAGCCACATCAGATACGTGGCGAATCCATTGGGTCTGCTCCTGAGCACACAAAGGACAAAGGACCTGCAGGGTCTTGGGGACACTGCCCCCCCTCAGGCCTGGTCCTGTTTCCGGTCTTCTCTTATGCTGGTTCCATGACCATTGCCTTCCTTAAAACAAGTCCTCTGGGCCAGGGAGATGGTACCTGCTGAGCAATCCTGGTGACCTGACCTTGATCCTCCAAACAGACATAAAGGTGGAAGGAGAGAACACACACACACACAGACACACACACAGACACACACAGATACACACACACACACACACAGAGACAGAGACAGACAGAATGATAAATTTTAAATAAATTTAAACATGAAATAAAAGTTCCCCATTTTGAGCTGGGCATTGGTGGCGCACGCCTTTAATCCTAGCACTTGGGAGGCAGAGGCAGGCGGATCTCTGTGAGTTCGAGACCAGCCTGGTCTACAGAGATAGTTCCAGGACAGCCTCCAAAGCCACAGAGAAAACCTGTCTCGAAAAACAAAAACAAACAAACAAAAAGCCCCCACATTTTGTTTAAATGTGAAAACCAAGTGTCCTCCTGTCTTTGCCTGACTTGGTGGCGATCGCTTCATACCCCCTTATTTATTTGGAGGTAGGGTTTCATGTAGCCTGGGCTGGGCTCAAACTCACTATGCAGGGGGTGACCTCAAATTCCCGATCCTTGTTCCTGCACTTCCCACTCCCAGTTTGCACAGCGCTGAGGATCTAACCGGGAGGGGTGAGTCTGTGTACACCACGGAAGCCCCCTACCAACACAGCTGCGTCTCCTTTTTAGATCTATCCTTTTAGAAGGCCTCAGGACTGAGTGACAGCCCCACCAGAGCCGGGCCAAATAACCTACTCCCCGACTTCCTCAAATGGCCCTGAGGCTAAGGCTGCCCTGCCACCCTTCATTCTAGGGTTAATTTGGCAATGCATTCTGGGTGTTTTGTCAGAGCCAGGCCTTGAGGTAGGCCTGGGGGAGCCGCACACCAGGCAGGAGGGCTCCTGCTTTCTCTCCTCAGAGATGCGGCCTCCCCCTCGTCTTCACCACCCGGTCTTGTTCCTAGGAAGCGCTCTTTTCGCCTCAATCTCAGGGCCATCCCACACCCTCCCCTCAGTTTCGTCTCACTACGCTTGCTACTCTTGACCGTCCTGCCAAAATCACTTTGGATCTGGCCCCTTCATGCCCCATCCTCCCTCTCCCTCCTGGCTCTGTGTCACCAGTGAACTCCATAAGCCTGTTACATCTTCATTGCTGTCCCTGATAGCAGCCTCCCTTGCCCAGGCTGAGGACAGAGCCCCGAGGCTCTGGAAGTTTCCCTGCGGATAGACACGGCTTCCTTAATCAGCACCCTTTGGGGACCGTGGTTCAATTCATCTCATTACAGGGTCACCCGGCCATGGTGGGCCATTTCTTGTCACACCATCCCCAGTGAGGACCTGACACACCACTTGTGACACTGTTTCTCTCTGTCAGCCTGGTACCCTTGTCAAGGAGAGGGGGCGATCTTGTTCTCCAACCATCAATGGTTGGCTTTGCTTCTCTCTCTTCTCTCTCTCTCTCTCTCTCTCTCTCTCTCTCTCTCTCTCTCTCTCTCTCTCTCTCTCTCTCTGTCTCCTTTTCTTTTTTGAGATAGGGTCTCACTATGTAGCCCTGGATGACTTGCACCTCTCTATGTAAACCAGGTTGGTCCCAAACTCACAGAGATCCACCTGCCTCTGCCTGCTGAGTGCTGGCATTAAAGGTGTGTATCAACATGCCCAATTTTTATTTAATAAAAAAAACTATTTCATTGAAACATACATTCAGGAGTTTTCAGATCACAAGCATACAATTCTTTCCAGGGTGACAAACCATATTATTACCCAGAACAAGAAACAAACAGTACCTCACTTAGGTCACCCCACTAAGAAGAACCCTCTTAGGGCTTCTAACTCACAGACTAGCTTCTCTCATTTTGAAACATATATCTGAAACACACACACATATTCTGTTTATGTCTTCTTTTATTGATTACTGTGATTTTATTATTTTTGCTGTTTATGCTTTTTTTGAGACTGTAATATTACACTTCTCCCCTCTCTCCATCTAAGTCATCCCAAACACCCCTACCTGCTCTCATTCAAATTCATGGCCTCTTTTTTTCACTAATTGTTATGGCATGCTTATATAGTAGGTGTGTATGTATATACATATATATCCCTAAAAACAACCTGTTCATCTGAGTAATGCTGCCTGTATGTATGCTTTTAAGATGACCGTTTGGCACTGGACAGCCAATTGGTGTGCTCTTCCCTGGGGACTCTATGGGCTTGGAGAGGGATCTCCCAGCATCCTTGTCTCCCTGGTGACAAAGTACAGCCCTCTTCACAGCTCACAGCCAATCAGAGGGCAAATTTTGGGAGTTATCCGTGCCAGTCCTTTGTTTGCTTTACGATTGCTTTATCTGCCTTTTGCTTGCAGTGGTTTCTCATATTCCCTACGTACAGCAAGATGCTGCTTAACCTCCACCAATTATTTGTGCAAATGGGTACATCAGATTCCAGGAGGCAGCTGGGAAGGGGGTGAGTTCCCCTCCTCGGAAAACGGAATACAGAGTCAGCTGTCACGGCCTGTCCTCACACCGCCATGTTTTTCTTAAGAAGTGATGGGGAAGATGGATGATCCAGACATGATACACTGAGGGCAGCCTTAATGCCCGGGTGAGGCAGGATGGCGGGGAAGCCTGTCACAGTGTTGTTGAGGACTCTGAAGTCGATTATGAGCAACCCGAAGTGTGAGCATCGTCCTCCCATCTTCTGGGAATGACAGTGTGGGCCGACGAGCCTTCCTAAGCATCACTTCTCTCTTTCAGGGCCAGAGAGGAGCACTCAAGCTGGTGGCATGGTTCTGTGGGCAAAGCTGCTTGCTGCTAAGCTAGAAGACCAGTACCAACATGGTGGAAGGAGAGAGCAGACTCTCACACGCCTGCTAGGGTACCGGCACATGGCCATACAAGCATGTTCAAACACAAATAAATGTAATTGTAACTTTAAAAGTGGCGAATCTTCATGTCACCTGAGGTTAAACAAGAAGTCAGGTCATGGAACTTAATATTCATGCAAATGTCAGATACCTCTTGAGTTGGAGAAAAACCTACAAGGCTAGCTTCACGTGGTAGTGGGTCGATAAATACACATTATTGAGAACCTAATATATACCAAGTGAGCAATCTAGTGGTGTAAAGCTGATGTAAGACCGTCCGGATTCAAAGGTCACTTGTTCCACTCCCTAGGGTCACAGTAGGCACAGTGCCTTTCCTGCAAAGAGATAGAATAGAACCCGGCCACACAGGGCAGGTGTGAGAATTGAGCTCAGTCATTTATGTAACGACCCCATCCTAGTTCCACTCCCGTTGCTGTTACAAAAAATACCCGATGGGAAGAAATCCATGGGAGAAAGGGACTGACACCTGTTTGCATTTCCAGATGACAGCCCAGTATCGTGGGTAAGCCAAGGCAGGAACTTCAAACAGCTGGTCATGTCACAGCTGGTCATGTCACAGCTGGTCGTGTCACAGTCAAGGGCAAAGAGGGACAGATGCAGGCGTGCTCACTTGTTGCCTGTGCTCAGCCTCATTTCCCCACTCTCATTCGGTACAGCAGCCCCTGCATAGGGAATGATGTTGCCCACAATGGGCTGGGTCTTCCTGTATAGAGACAGTCTCCCACTGACATGCCCAGAGGCCAACCCAATGGAGACAGTCCCTCAATGATACTCTTGTAAGTTGACTATTAAAACTAAGTATAATGGGCCCCATGCTAGGCGCACAGAAGGCACACACGTGTTAACTGATACGTTATCAGGTTTGTGTGTATACATACTCGTATTTCATCTCACATTTTCAACCTTTCGAGATGATGTTAATGTTCGCTCCATTTCCGAGATAAGGAGATGGGCCCTGCGTATTGCCAAGGCCATGTGACCACGTAAGTAGCAGAGCCAAACTTGTAATCAGATGCCCAAGGATTTGTTGCAATCTAGCATAGACTGCCACCAGGTTCATATGCATGCAGCTTATTTTTAAGAGCATCTGGAAAACCCTTATCAGATACCATCCTAGATGTCTCGGGGGTTAGAGGGTCAAGAGAGGCACGAATCTTTGATACTGAAACAGTGTGGGTACACATGGCCTGGCTAAGGGTGAGGGCAGCGAGCCCTGAGCACTGAGCTGCAGGCCCATCAGGAACCCCACAGCAGAGGCTCTCTGGGGCCCCGGGGCCCACAGCCTGAGATGGCCCTGGGGCTTTCTGTAATGAGCCTGCCATGCAGTTGGACAGAGACTTATGACTTCTGGTGTCTGGGCCGCCTCCTCCCGCTTGTCCTCCCTGGTTATTTATCACATTTGTCCCTCTGGAGAGGCAGGGTCATCGCTTACACTGTCCAAAACAGCGAAACCAATAAAGCTGGTTCTACAGGAAGTCCCGAGTCCTGCCCTCCCCACATCAGTGGTTTGTCTGTTGGGGGTGGGGCAAGGCCCCCCAAAGCAATGTTGACCCCTGTTCAGCTTCCCCGGAGGTCTCCAGCAGTGCTGCCGCGCCACAGTGACAAATGTCGCTCACCTTGCCGAGCTACGGTATCACATCCACTCATTTCATTACTGCTCACACCACCCCCAGGCGTCCAACTGCACCGGTATCACCCATGGGAAGGTAATGTCAGACTGAAAGAATATTCCTAGTCATAAAATCCCCAAGTCAAGATGCCATGAAATCTGAGACAGTTGGAATGATGACATAATAGTGTTAAGTGGGAAATTCTACACCTGACCTCATGTGACAGGTCCCAGTCAAAACACAGGTGCACTAAAGATATTGCATAAAATTATACCTGCCCAAGGCGTACATGAGACACTAACAGATTACATGTTTAGACTTGGGTCTCCTTCCCAACATATCTGATGAATCTTTAAAAAGAATTAAACTTGTTATATATATATATACATATATATATCAATGTTTTGCTTGCACATATGTCTGTGTATCATGTGTATACCTTATGCTCATGGGGGGGTGGTCGGAAGAGGGCATCACATCCTCTGGAACTGGAGTTATAGACGAGTAGGAACTACTATGTGGGTGCTTGGACTCTCATGTGTATACCTTATGCTCATGGGGGGTGGTCGGAAGAGGGCATCACATCCTCTGGAACTGGAGTTATAGACGAGTAGGAACTACTATGTGGGTGCTTGGACTTGAACCCCTGTACTCCACGAGATAAACCGGTTCTCTCAACCACTGAGCCATCTCTCCAGCCCCATATCGTTCCTTTTAGTTTAGCTTGGAGAAAAAAAGAGAATGAGAATTGTCACAGCTGGTCTGCCTCTGCTCTGGACTCGTGACATCTCTTCGAGGCTCCTGGAGAAAGCAGTGGCCTTCTCCCGTGATTCCTCTGGTTCCCTCGAGGCTGACGGCATCCTGGGAAGAACATGGCTGTAGACAGGCCTGGCCTTGGGCTTGTCTGTGGCACATGAGAAGTCTAGATCCACTCACAGCTTCCCAGGATCTGAGTGACTTCATCAGTAAAAATGGGAACGGTACAGATCATCTCACGAGGTCACAGGAGAGAAATGCGTTGTGTATGCAGTAGGCACTTAATAAGCACCACATAGAACAGTTACCACCAGTACTGTTATTCTGCAGCCTCCTCGCCTCTGCCGAGAGCACTTGCTTCCTTCCATCCTGGTCCCCTAGCCCAGGACAGCAGCTTCTCTCTTTATCTCCCCCTGCCTGACCCAGTTTCTGTGAAAACTGGAGATTCTCATGTGGTGGAGATGACAGTCACATCTACAGGTCTCGTCGTCCTATTAGGACAACATCAGTGTAAACATTAGTTATTCACAAACCCAATTACATTTTGATTGCTCTGACCCTAGTGAGATTGGGGTTACTCTCAATCCACATTTATTTTTTGGCACAAGCTTCCTAGGGTTCAGAGAGATAAAAGCAACCTTCCTTCCTTCTGCCATACCCTGGCAGGGATCTTTTCCAGGCTTCCTCATTTCCTCTCCTTCGCAGATCCCAGATGCAGCCATTCCTGGGCTCTCTGCCATTCAAGGGGAAAGGAGCTCGGCTGGAGTGAACTGAGATCCCCATCAGGGGATCAGAAAGAAGGGACTGGAGGGGGATTCAGTGCCTTTACCCAGTTAAGGAGACTCGGAGGAGCTCCCTGCTTTTGAAGCATAGGTGGAGGGCTAGCCTGCTCTTGGAGTGCAGGTGGAGGGCTAGCCTGCTCTTGGAGTGCAGGTGGAAGGCTAGCCTGCTCTTGGAGTGCATTTCCCATCCCAGTAAATCTTTGCAGTTGCTCAGGTGGAAAACAATTCCTCTTTTTCTTCCACTCCAATCCAGCAGCACACTCAACCTTTCCACCGCAGCCTCTATATTAGTCCCTTCTCTTGCTGCTGTAACTAAAACAAAATCCAAAACAAGCTCCATGGGTTCCTGAAGTGAAAGATGAAGCCCTTAAAATGACTCTAGGGGGCTGTGGTGAGATGGTCCATTGGTTAAGAGGACTGGAGTTTGGTCCTTTGTGTCATTTGGTGTGTGTATCAGCTCATGTTATATGCATTAGTGTTTTGTCTGAATGTGTGTATGAGCACCGTGTGTGTGCAGTACTGGGGTTGGACAGAGGAGGGCATTAGACTCCCTGGAGTTACAGTTGGTGTTGAGCCACTATGCATGTGCTAGCAATTAAGCCTGAGTCCTCTAGAAAAGCAACCACTGAGCCACCTCTTCAACCCCATAAAATAAACCTTTATAGTCACTTAATGAAAGATTGTCAGGCTGGCCTTGAACTCTATGTAGCCAAGGATGACCTTGAACTTCAGATCCTCCTACTAGCCTGGTCTACAAAGAGCTACACAGAGAAACCCTGTCTCAAAAAAGCCCAATATATATATATATATATATATATTGGTGGTGCACACCTTTAATCCCAGCACTTGGGAGGCAGAGGCAGGCCGATCTCTGTGAGTTCTAGGCCAACCTGGTCTTCAGAGCAAGTTCCAGGACAGGCTCCAAAGCTACAGAGAGAAATCCTGTCTTCAAAACTAAATAAATAAATAAATAAGCAAAATTGGGAAGGTGTTATGTGGAAAGGGCAACCTGGGGGCTGAGAACGTTGAGAACCAGCTGCAGCCCAAATACATATGCTCTTCCGTGTCTCTGATCATCTTAGATGCCCAGCCTCTGACCAAACTTACAGAAGCCAGAGGTCAGGGGGGTTCAGGTGGCACTATGCCTGGAAGCAGCATCCGAGAGCACAGATCTGGGTGAAGCAGGGTGGACAGTGGAGGGACAAGGAGAGGGTGCCCTTGTCACCTATTGCTCCTGAGCATTTTGGTCACCGTCTGACTCCACACCCATCTATCTACCTTTCCTGCCCTTTTTTCTGTTTGCCTCATACCACATTTTAAAGTTCCCAGCATCTTTTTTTCCTCATCCTATATTGTATTGTGAGCTCTACAAGGACAAGGATTTTTATCTCCTTAGTCTACAGATGCATCCTTGGTGCCCAGCCCAGAGCCTGGTGTATTATAATACATAAACAAAAGACAAACTGCATGACCATTCTAAGGTGGGCAGTTTGGGAGGGCCCAGAAAGCATGAATGCGTCCTGAGGTTGCTTTCCAACAGCCGAGGTCCCTGGGTTTGGCCCTGGAAATTACCATCTGTAATGGAGAAAGAATGCATTCGTTGTTCGGGTAATTGGTAGTAACTGATGGTAATTTCGAGTAATTAAACACTAATTAATTCAATGAGTCAGTAATGTATTTATTTATGGTATCTGCGTTTGTTCCCTTATAAATATTGGTGTTACTTTTGTCAGGCAATTAAAATCCACTGGTGGGGACTGGCTGAGGTCCCAGGAGAGTTTGGAAGCTTGGCCTGGCCTGAGCCAGGAATGAGCTGTGGAGGGGCCAGATAGATGGCTGAGCAGCTGAGAGCACTGGCTGCCCTTGCAGAAGACCTGGGTTTGGTTCTCAGCACCCACAGGGAC